CAGAGCTTCCCTATATGACACTTTTAATAGAAAAGTTTCTTTGTACTTTTCCCCCTCTTGGGTGTTTTGCTGGTTTATATTGGTTGGGGTTGTTTTTATCTGACCCTAGCAGTCAAACTGAACCTCCTGTAGCCCACCCAGAAGGTAAGAGCCACTACCCACACCTGCACCATCCAGTCAGGACAGACAGCAGCCAATGCCAGTCCAAACCACCCAAAACTGCTCTTCACAAGCAGCAAACAGAGCCAATGCTCACATCCCCATCCTGTGTCATACACATTAGGAGACAGGCGTTAAGTGCCTAACTGGTGTCAAACTAGTAAGCAAAGAAACATTCCTGAATTACACACTCCATAGACTGGAGCAACATATACAGGGGGAAATTGAGAACACATCAACATCCAGTCTGGGATAATCACACAATGGAATACTACGCTGTACTGAAAAGCAAGGAACTAATGAACTATTATACAAAATGGGTGACCCTGGAGGACATTATGTTGAGTAAATATCTCAGTCACAAAAGAACAAATACTGCATGATGCCACTATTGTAAAACGGGACTGACATCAGGGTTGGGGGAGACTGAGAAAGATGGGATAAATTTTGCATAATGTATTGAAACAGATGAGGCAGAAAACAGTTTAAAAGGGATATGTGATTGGGTATTTTTGTCATGACAGGAGTCCAGAGCAAAGGCTGCATAGAGGAGTGGACTTGGGGGGAGGGATTGTAAAACAATGAAAGAATTTTTCTTTTACTTTTCAAAGAGAACAGTGATCTGAAGGCGAGGGGTGGGCAGGGAGAATAGTGCAACAATGAATGAATGGAAATCCAATGTCTCTGTAAATTTTCATTAAAATTAATGATGATTTTTTAAAAAATACCATACAGTCAATAAATGAAATCCAACGTTACCATGATATGTCAGAACTAGAGCCAACCTCAGGATATGCAATGAAAAAGATCAAGTAGACAAAACAAGACAGCACAGTGCGAGCCAGACCTCTCATGGATAGGAAGTGTCCCCTAGGTACCGGAGCGTTTTGGTGACCTGGTGCTTTATGTATTGAACAGGGTAACCGGTGGATCTTAGGTTCAAATGCAACAGTCACTGCAAAGTGGAACAATGAGGCTTCCTGCTCCTCTTCTGACTTGTAATGTGGTGGAAGTTCACTGTCACGCGGAGTCAATCATATGGTAATGGATTTGGGTTTTAGTCTGTTTTAACAGATTGCAAGGAAGTTTAAAGAAACCACCAATTAAAGGAGATGCAGACAAAATCACAGAAGAATTCTTTTAAATTATAATAATAATTTGATGAAATAAATGGAAAATATGAAACTACATCAAAAACATCAAATAGAAATCCAGAATCTTAAGACCAAGGTTATAAAAATTGGCACTATGTTGACACTCCAAAGGAACAGAATTAAATCAGTGGAAGACACAATTTGTAAGATTGAAGACATATATCTGAGCGCAAATAAATTAAAATGGATGTCAGAAGAAACTCTGAAGATTGCACTGGAGTGCAGAGAAGCCAAAGCACAAGGAAGAATTCAAGATATTAAAGAGCTGAATAGAAAATTCCAAAGGGCAGCACGGTATGACAAAGCAAAATATTACAATGAAATGAGCAATGAGCTGGAGTCTGAAAACCAAAAGGGCAGAACTTGCTCAGCATTTCTAAAGCTCAAGGAACTGAAGAACAAATTCAAACCTCAAGTTGCTATAATCAAGGATGCTTTAGGCAGAATATTAAATGATCCAAAAAGTATTAAAAGAAGATAGAAAGAATATACTGAGTCACTGTATCAAAAGGAATTGGGAGACACAGAAGAATTTCATTAAATAACATATGATCAAGAGTCTATGGTGATGAAGGAAGAAGTTCAAGCTGCTTTGAAGGAAATAGCAAAAAAAAAAAAAATAAGGCTCCAGGAATAGATGGCATACCAATTGACATATTTCAGTTAACAGATGCTGCCCTGGAGGTGCTCACCAAGTTGTGCCAAGAAATCTGGAGAACGACCACTTGGCCAACTGACTGGAACAGACCTATATTTGTTCCCATTCCAAAGAAGAGTGACCCAACAGGGTGTGGAAACTATAGAACAATCTCATTGATTTCACATGCAAGCAAGATTCTACTGAAGATTATCCAAAAACGACTGGAACTGCACATCAGCAGAGAATTGCCAGAAGTCCAGGGTGGGTTTAGAAGAGGTCGTGGTACTAGGGATATTGTAGCTGAT